TGGAGAAGATGATTGGTTTTATTTTTTATTTTTGGTTTTCAGTATAATTCTTTTATTTTAATTTTTTATATAAAAAATGTAAAGTTATTCATTTGGCCTTTTAAAAATTAGTCAACAATTGGTCGGATCTTTGATTTTTGGTCAATTACAATCAAACTAACGATTTTTGTCAATTTGGACTCCAGGTGCGAATTTTTTAAAGGTATGATACGGTAAGTGCTACAAATTAAAGGTTTAGGTTAAGTCTGCATGAAAGTGAAATATTTGGCATCGTAACTCAAATTTTCCCCTTTTTTCTGAACTTCTTTAATCGTAGGTTATGGAAACAGTAGATTGTCGAAACTACCACTCATTTTCACCATAATCTGATCCCATTTCTCCGAAGTCCAAACAAGCATCAAAGGGCAGCAGAGTTTTCCATCAATTGCTGAATGGGCTATCCTTACTCTTTTCTAGTTCCTGTAAATCTTGATCCGAGCAGTAACCCCCTCCATCATAGTTCGAAATATTGCCCTCTGGTATATACTTTTAAGCAAGATCTCCATTAGCTGAGATGTACGGAAAAATAGACTGGAGCTCAATTTTGGATGAAAGCTACATGTTTCAACGTGTAAATGGAAATTGAATATGGCAAGAATTATATTAGAGCCTCTGAAGTCTGAACCTCCCACACTATTGCCACATATTCTGTCCAGTGTAATCGAATGGTAGAGGCAATGTCTCTAGGATCAAGAAAAAGGATAAAACCAACTCTCCTCGTGCGAGTTGAGATTGATCAAAATGACCACTGCAATCCTTAGTCGATAAAAGGTATCATTCGTTTCCGACTTCAAATCAGCTATTACCAAGTCGTGACAATGTTCGATTATTTTCATCTCAACAAATGTATTAAATATAATCACACGATTATTGAGGTCATTTTCTAAAATAACCTCTACTCTAAATTCATATATTTAATTAAAATAAGTGTAACTGGGGTGGGTTGACCATGGCAAAGCTCAGATTTCACTCCCCTTTACAGGCTTTTTCTCCGCCTCATGTTAGCCTCTAAATGCGCCCTGTTCTACCCTCTGTAAACATCTAATGTACATGTACTCTTGTATCGAAACATGTCTATTGTTAAATGTGACATTTCACCCCCTGCATGAAAGAATAAGCATTTGCATCACATGACAATATAATAAGCATTGAAATATCTAAATGTAATTGTTTTTTCCGCAGTTTGTTGATGAGAAGGTCCAGTGGATGCACATTAACGCTCGTTGAATGGATGCTAAACAACTCTGACTGTTAATAGAAAATAATGTAACACAAAACAGATGATCCTTAGTTTAGACAGACTTCAAATAATCATATCAAGTTAATGTAACATCATCAAAGTACTAATTAGCAATTCAGGCATGGATTCTCCCATCTTTCCTTGCCTACAGTCCTCTGTTCAGAAATCCTTTATGTTAAATACCGACTGCCCATTGAACATTTACCCACATCAGAATTCAATTCTAGAAATTTCTCCCAAGGTACAATCCTGTCACATATGACTAGCATTACTTCTAAATTAGCTACAGAAAATAATGATCAAATTTACATGTTAAACATATACCACTGGAATTTTGTGTATACCCATCTTGCAAGTCCCATATAAAGGCACTGAAGCACTGAGCAGAGGAAACCTAGAGTAAGCTTATCATGCAACAAAAGGTTGGATTATTTAACTATTAACATTCTGAAAGAACTCACAAACCAGTAAAAGATTTCATTTTTCTTTTTCATGGATAAGAAGAAGTATTTAAAAGAGAAACTGGATAAAGCACATGCCCAACAGTAAGCAACAAATAATGAAATGGCACAAGATTGATAGGCATTTAATCCAGATTAATTTAAGAATCAAAATTGCACAAATTAAGAAGACATAAATATGAGTACTACAAAATCCCTCCACCATTGAAATAAAAGCACAAACCAGATCAAAAAAATTCTTCATCAAAGCCTCAGTAATTTAGTTCACTAAACCGAGTAGCTGAAGCCTGCATATCTGTGTCTGAAGTTGATCATTTTGTTGACACTCTTTTCTTGCTTTTGGTATCTTTCACCTTGGTAATTCCTTCCCTTGCCTCTTTCTTGTTCCCAGCCTTTCTCAACCCCTTCTTTTCCCCTAACTCATCTTTTTTGGGCTTGCCGGCCCCTCGATTAGTTTTTTCTTTTCTCTTCATCTCCTTCTCCTCATTCAAGTTGCTTAAGTCCCTTGCCTTCACTGCCATTTTCTTCTTCCTTTTATTTCCTCCAAGTTCGTTACCACCCAAATCTTCATCATGGTTGCTCTCACTCAAATCCTCATCTTCACTATTTTCCTCCATCAAATCCACTTCTTTCCCTTTATGTTCATCGTCATCATCATTCATTGTAGCTTCATCCTCAACCTCATTCTCATCATTCACCATTTCATCTCCAACATCCATATACCGAACCTCATGAATCCTCCCTTTCTTCTTCTTCTTTTTCCCACTTCCACCCTCCTTCCTTCCACTTTCTTTCTCTTCTTCCTCTTTATCATCCATCTTTACTTTCTCAACTCCCTTCTTACTCTCTCCCATACCGTCAATTTTCAACTTCATGTCAGGCAATACCTGGTAAATTGGCAATGCAATTGAATCAGAGAATTTTAGGTGAAAACTCCTCACGCCATTCCACTTTTTAGGCACCCTTTCGGCCACCGCCTCAACCACACTAACAATGTTTTCCACAATCTCCTCCTTCTCCATAGCCACCTTCGCAACCCTCATCACACAACAAGTTCCGGTCCTCAAATACAACAGCGCACTCCCTAGAGACCTCTCCACTTGCGCCTTAAGATTTTTCTTACTCAAATCTACCCCCAAAGGCAACTTCTTTTTCTTGAAAAATTGTTTGCCTATCAACTTGGGCAGCAAATGAACGACCCTTTTATCAACCAAAAATAGGTCATAGCTATCGCAAAGCTTCCTTTTTGCCTCAAAAGGCT